ATTACAGCTTCAAAATTCAACTAATACTTTAATCGATTGGTTAGAAGTTTTATATATTTTTAAAATTTCGGTTTGAAGCATATTACTGTATTACAGTCGGAATAGGTCCTTTAACATCGTGATTAAGATCTTCTCCCTAGATAGCCTCCCCAGTGATAGGGTCATTTTTACCCGATGATTTGAATTTTACGGCCATTTATATGTCATTCTTTGGGCGGGTGGCAATAACTCTCCCCACAGTTTTCAAAGTATTGCAGGAAACCCTATTAAGTCTTTTTAAAATCGTCTCTTTATTATTTTTGTCTCATTTTAAAATACATGTATCTACCTAAACGACATTAAGCAGGAAAATCTCTTTTTGATCTGCTCACATTTCGGAATGCTAGTGTTTCACGCAGAGTAGATCATCGTAGGGATTTGTCAGTATCTTTTTCCTTTCATGTACTGTATATTCTGACACGTTTAGATGTTTGATTCTACCCTTGTTATTCTGCTGCCTTATTGAGGTATGTATCATCAGTATCTTGTTTACTTTACCGCGTTTGCTGATTTAACTTTACTAGTAACAGGTTCAGTTTAGCAAAAGCGAGTCAGTTGAGTTGAAATTACTGAAAGTTTTGCTTACATTTCTCACTCTCGTTGTCTTTTTTATTCATGACTTGCCATTTTTAAAGACATTCGTATGTCTCCGTAGTTAGTATCACCCTATATGAAATAGTTTCCTGGACTGACGTTGTTTTGAATCCAAATATTCCAAATGCCTGTCTAGAAAACTTGATCGCATGTTTAGTTGCACCTTTTTAATGAAAATGACTTCCGTCTGTTCAGATATTCCATTCTTACGCAAACTGAAAATGCGGAGTAGTAGGCTTACATGCGAAATCCCATTCTACCTAAATAAGTAGAAAAATATGTGGTTTTAAAACATTAAATCATGTTGTGCTTTGGGCTTGGTGGTTAATAGGAGAATCGGTGGTAAGTAGAAAAAAATGGTTGGACACAGTTTATTTTTAAGCTTTAAGAACATTTTCTCGGCAAAAAAAAAACAATGTAAAAAAACAATGGCACTGCCCATTTCATGTACTGTAACGCTAATACCATTAATAGAAATATTTGAAGAAGAGGAAGATGCTTTTTGTTGAACTGTTTGCATTGGTTTGAAGTAATATGTTGCATGCCATGGGGGGGGGAGTAACAGGCACAGGTCTGTGTTTTTGAAAAGATTCATGTATTGGGGCATGTAAAATTGGTCCTAATATGTATGAAGTTAGTTGCAGTGTTGCTTTCATAGTCACTTTTGTTATATAAATTGGCAGTTTGAGAGATAATACGTGCTAGATGGGGTCAAAAATTGATACATTGTCTGTGCGTCCACCACATAATCGACTTGTCTGTTCATTTAACAATGTAGAAAACAATTTTGGTCTCATCAAACCTCATTCCAGCTCGAATTACCACGAGTTTAAACTCTGGCAGGTCCAATCCAACTCTGTCAATCATCGTACCGCCCGGCCATTACACTTGCTAGGCCGAGACTTGCGGATAATATTATGAATAAACATTGGCAGGGGAAATGTCGTAAAGTAGATTTCAGCTTTAAATTTAGAATAGAAGTTTGGTGAACAGACTAACTGTTGTATCTTCTTCGCCATGAAGCATTAAAAGGTCTGGTATTTACTTAATATATTTATATATAGAATAAGGGTACATGTATGTTTTTAAGGACAGTTTGCGGTTTAAGGTTAGTCAGCTATATGCTCTTTTAAAACAATAGATGTCCCCAGATTTGGACACTGTCACTATATGCGTGTGCTAAACTGCAAACTATTCCGAGATCATATCTTGCAAGAAAATAAATACATTTTTGCACTCTCACTTAAATCATAAACTATCATATTTAAGGATATCTCTTCGCTTTCAAGAAGCAAAGTATACACGCACAACTCACGTGTCCGTTTGTGCTTTTAGAAAAAGCTGGTTGATCAGTCACTAGATAAACTATAGAGATTTTATGGACTAAAACATTGATCGAAAGGATAAGATAAACTTACAAAGATCACTTTGTGTTTTATTTTCTTGATCGTTAACATCATTTCTTTAGCAGCATGGTTTTGATTTAAGATTGAGACTAAAATGACGATTTCTTTGAATTCCTTGTCTCTTGTACCATGTCCTTACTATGACAGAGAAGTTTCAGACTGTGTTCCCACAGATTTAGATCGATCCATCCGGATCGACCTTACTCCCTGGGGGTTCACGCTAAATTGCTGTCAGCTTCCGGGAGACTAGCGCGCACAAAAGTTAATTACCCCCTTACAGCTTTTAGTAGGCGGGACAGACATTTAAGCCGGCTAAGCTGACAGCAATCTAGTGAGACTCCCCAGGGGGATAGATCGATCTAAATATCTGTGGGAATGGTCTCTTAGTAGCAGTCCGATGAATGCACACATGTTTTTACTCGTGATATTAGTACATGGCCATGTTTTACCATAATAATGACATGGCCCTTTCTGTACAGTTGAATAATTTTGGTCATGTTTTTGTGAAAGAAGAAATACAAGAGGAAAAAGACAAAAACTGTTTTTATTATTCATCACTTGCATTGTATTGTTACTCAGGAAAATGGAAATGACGTAATAGAAACAGCACGAGATGCGTATTTAAATGTGTATGTTTAATACAGACACACAAAACTGTTTGAAAACATTTTATTCTTTTTTCAAGTAAGAATTTTTACCATATTTAAAGTGTCTCTTCTACGACGTAATTTTTGAAAGAAAAAATTAATAAAAAAAAAACGCAACAGCGCCAAGTTAGAAACCTGGATATCCATTGGACATATATTTTCTAAATATATTGTCTATTTTCAGTTTAACATTGTCTCCAGCATGGCGAAGAGGATGTGCCTCCTGGTCGTAGGTGTGCTGCTATTGGCTGGATCCAGTCACGAGTCAGGTTTTCAGGGGAACAAGATCGTCGCCTCCCTCGATATTGTACCGAGAGAGACGATTCCAGTCGTGCCATCATATTCTATTCAACTGGATGGACCTGTTACAGTGAATGCATTATCTTCTGCCTCCTATTACCAGTCTTTATCGGATCCAAAGAGACTCCCTAGAACCAGGTAGGCTACATACATGTACAAAACTTTCTTCATCCAAAGGCGGACACACGGGCACAAGGTGCAAAAGTAACTTACTTCAGACCCACTTCAATACTTGGAAATGCAGAATTGCCGAGCAAACCAAATTACATATTCACAACCTTGTGCTCTTCCCTACCCTTTTACACCCTAGCTTGTTTTTATTTTTTGTTTGTCAAAGTCACCTTCAAATGTGCAATACATAAATCACAGATATACTAGCAGATGCGTTTTGGTAGAATACGACTAAAATGAAAGAGACACATAATGAAGTCTACTATAGTTTATTAGTTCTTTCTTGTCTTGCTGCATCAGTCCATTATTTCAACCCGTTTCTTCTCTTCAGATGTGACCGCGTCAATGAGTACGACACCAAGTCTCAGGCCTGTTGTGGACAATCCACCACCCTTCCCAACGGCGTCAGGTGTTGTCAAGGCAACGTATACAACAAGGCGGCCCAGTTCTGCTATCGAGGCGTGGTCCACTACTATTTGGACTTCAATCCGATTCAACAACCACGTCCCAAATGTGGCCAGTATTACTATCACTACCAAGATCAGGCCTGTTGCGCCGGCAAGATCTATATCCCAGCCAGCCAGGGGTGTTGCAACAACGTGGTCTTTACCTACGCGACACAGATGTGCGTCGGCGGACAAGTGCGAGAACATAATTCCTACGCCCCATGTCCAGGATTCCACACCGATCACCCGTCGCAATACGGTTGCTGCAATGGCGTCTCGTACTTGTACAGCACGAAGGGATGTTGCCAAGGCAATGTGTACGACCTTGACGTGAGCAAGTGCACCAAGGACACGCTGACTGTTCATAGGGACGGAAAAAAGCGCTGTGGCGGGCAGGTTTACATCCAGCACAACCTCAGCTGCTGCCGAGGACTGCTCTACGATCACAACAAACAGACTTGCTGCGAGGGGCGCGTCCTTAATGCGACCACCATGTACTGCCAAGAAGGCCGCGGGCTCAGATATGACAAAATGGTGCTCTGTGGCGCGATGCAGTACGACCCCACGCGCTTCGGCTGTTGTCATGGTGATCCCTTTGATCCTCGTCACCAGGGCTGCTGCGCCTATACTGTGTTTTGGAAGGACCAGTACACGTGTACCAATGGTTACCTGTACCCCGTGGCCGCTGATCCGGTCGGATCCGGAAACCAGATGCCATATTGCGATGACGAAGCGTTTGATCCTTCCAAGGGCAAGAGATGCTGTGGCAAGCTGACGTATAAAACCGGGTTTGAGAGCTGCTGTGGCCAGAACCCCTACTTCAGAGCACGGCAGGTCTGCTGTGAGAGCGATAACGGCCAGTATTTCAGAAGATCCAGAATGGTCGGTTGCAGAAGTTTTTAACTTTTAAACTACCCGCTAATGCAGTTTTTTCTTTTGGGGAAAAATTGTTACTTTCAGGCCACTCTTAAAGTGCTTTGGAAAACGTGAACGGCGGGTACACTTAACAGATATTAAGAAAAAAATTGGACACCATGAATATTTTCGTTTCTCGTACTTTTAGCCTAAAAATTAAGTGTTAATAGTGACTCATCGTAACGTCACCTCAATTTATTTTTGAGCACGTCGTAACGTCACCTCAATTTATTTTTGGTCTGAACTTAAAGCACCCCGCTTGTGTCCTGTTATGATCACTTTTGGTTCTTTTTTAAGGTCACTCGCACATAAGGATACAAAGTAAGTCACTTTGTAGATGCCATCCTCTTCACATGAAAATATTTTAAAGATGATTGCAAGTAAATGTACACAAAATTTTGATTGACGTTTACACTATAACTATTATTTATCTACCTTCAATCTTTTTGTCGCTCTTCTCAAAAATTAACCTGAATCAAAGTACCTACTCTAGTGAAGACACATATAAAATAAAGTAGCTTAAAATATCAGCATTTTAAGTTGTAGTCAAATACACGTTCACTAATTTTTATAGTGAACACAATACTGAAAATTATCATATACGTTTACTCTATCTGACCACCACCGTCCTATTCAATAATTTTCTAAAAAAAAAAACTAAATCTATTGTTTCTTTGTATCTAATTTCTTCCTCATTTGCTTCCATCTCTGCTGACTATTTTAGTTTATGTAAAAGAAAACAAATGTAATAAAGACCATAGTAGCAGGCCACAGTGCTGTATACCCCCTAGAACGGAATAACCTGCAATAGGGTCAAGTGAACCTAGACTAGATTATGCTGGGTGGCTAAAAACGATACTAATATCTAAGTTCAATAAATTCAACAGTTTTCAAGCTATTGCAATGGAATTTAAGAGATGTTAGGAGAGCCTTGGATAAATGCTGAAAATTTCATGACTCTACCTCTCTTAGTTTTGGCACACCGAAAAAATTAAAGTAAAAAAAATGTCAACCCGGCCTATGTCACTCCTGACAGTTGATTTCAGGATAGAAACTGCTTCACTCTCAGACTTGAAGTTTTCACGGTTGACCAATAATAATGTATCAAAAATCTGTGGAAAAATTTCAATTCCAAAGCTTGTGAACTGTTGAAGATATTGAACTTTGAGATTAGTAACATTTTTTTCTTTTAGCTACCCGATACACAGCCCCGTGCCCCTCTGATATACATTAATTTTCGATATCTCGTTTGAGACTGACTATAACGTCTTATGGGTAGCGGTATTATCTGGCGTGGAGGGGCATAGTTTGTGGTAGGACGGTTTATCACCCGGGGTATTCTCTGGCTTGGCCCGAACTGGATTTAATCCCAGCACGGGCTCATTTGGCCTGCTACACTGGTATTAATAGGAAGGGGAGAGAGAGAGAAGTGTGGTGTGGTGTGACTAAGGACATGTCGGAACCACATAGTGCCATACTTGAAAATTAGCTCTGTAGTAGAATTATGCTTTGCATAATGATTATTTGTTAGTTGTTGAAGAAGATTGGCAAAAGCCTGAGAGAGCAAGTGTGAACAGGGAAATTTACGTCACTCGGTTAAAACTTAAAGAGGTCAAGCCACACGGCTCATTTTTTTTTTATCTACCTGTGAAAATTGATGCTTGAGGAATATGTCCTGGCAGTAATTCACTTATAACACGCGAATGTGTGTGCCAAATAGCTCAACTGACTCCATTTTTAATCTGCGCATGAAATTGCTAATCAGTTAATACATACACTTTTATATCAACTTCTGAGTAGTTGGACTTCAAAATATCCTATATTTTGCAGAATCAGTTTCAGCTTCATTTTGTATCAGCTAAATGGCAGATTTTTCCACATGAGTTTTGGACTGACATAAACATGAACACACATTCATTACCTCATAGAAAAGGCAGTCGAGTTGTCAGGGGACTGAAACACAGGATGGAGAAGGTCTTTTTATTCCCAATTTATATTATCATATTTATTATATACAAGCTATGCGTCAGCGTAGTTATATGCATATTGTACTTAAAGCAAAATAATGCGTGGTAACGTGATGGTGAGGGGGAAAGATATTCTGTATGAATTTTGGTCATGAAATAAAAACTGGGTAAAACAAAGGCGCCTTTTGAATTGCTTTCTTTTGCACGTGTTATACATGCACTAGTTAATGCAGATGACATGAATGTGTGGTCTAGAAATACGCGGAAACTTACTGACTGATTTGAGAATAGATCAGAGCTTTAGTGCAAAAACTCTATCGTTTACTCCGATCATCAAGTCTCATATCCTGTTTTCATTCCTACGAAGTGTACGATTACGAGTGATCTGTTTTGGTTCGAATCAAATCATTGGCATTTGTAAATGAACAAGAGCACGCGGGTCTCTCTTAACTCTCCTGAGTAAACGCGGCAAAAGACGTTCGCACACTCACGCGCGCGCACACACACACACACACTCACATAAACAGGAGCTCAGGCTAGTTGTATTTATGATAATATGTTTATTTAATGTTAATCTCTAAAAAAACATGCACTTTGCTAGAGTAGCTATAGATTTTAGTAGTTTTCAGTTTTAAGTGACGCTTACGTTTCAAATTTCTCTTGCTCGAAGAGGGTGGAAGTTTTGCTAAATTTACATTACATAAATATGAGAGGGTCGCTTTCAGTTGCAGCATGTTCAGGTACTTAATAATAATAATAATAATAATAATAATAATAATAATAGTGCTTATTTGAAGCTGAAATAGTTGGATTATACAATAATATAAATCGTTAAATTCATGAAATAAGAATAAGATAAATAATTGAATTGTAAATGAGAAGTGCTAACATGAAAGAAAGCATTTGGTACTCCGAGGATATTTTAAAAATACATTAAGATTAAGATTCATTTAAAAACACATTAAAAGTAAGGTAAAAGAAAAGTGCGGCGACGGAATGGCATCTTATAACAGACGCAGGTCTGATGGGTGTGGTCCACCGGTGAGATTCACAGAAAATTGGTGGTCGGGTGGTGGATTTGCCACGACCCCAGCAACCTGGGAGGAAGACTAACATGGAGATATTTTCTTAATACCAATCACTGCCTCTCCCCGAGGGTCAAGTTAAACTGGAAATGTGACTTAAACGCATCACCAGTTTAACTTGACCCTCGGGGGAAAGGCACTGATTGGTATTAAGAAAAGATCTCCATATTGATCTCCCGCCCAGGTTGCTGGGGTGTTGGAAAGTGCATGACGGAGGTTTATCTTTGCTGGTATCTCGAGCACCTGGTCAGGGTAGAAGTACACAGGGCGTGCATAAAGTAAACTTAGACCGGCGTCTTTTACATGACCAGTTTCGACAAATAACTTAATGGACTTAGTGCTAGTAACTTCATTTCTCCAAAGATCGTGATTTGGGTTTTTAATACATCCCTTGTGACCATTCAATTATCTCATACCTGAAATGAAGGAATTGATTGAAAAATTCCGTTCTTCTGTCAAATGAATCCATGATTTTATTTTAAGTCAGGTATAAATAAACGCAACCTAAACTTTCAAACCAAAAAATTTGCTGTCTTTTCACCAGAAAGATCAGTAGTAATCCATTTATTGATGATGTACAGACTGTGTTACAAAATGTTGTTGATCGATTCAGACCAATAGATATTTTTTCAACTATATTACAAATGAATTAACCAAATCAAAGTAAGCTACTTTTTGCATTGATGCCTTTGGGAACTCAGACTAATTTATTCCAGGACTGCACAAAGATAATAAGTATTTTACCATGGTAAAAAGAATGCACGTAGAATTTAACTTTTCGATTAGAATAGTTTTGTACCCCCAAACCCTACAAAGTGTAGAGATTTTTCTTACTGTTTTTTATTCCTTTTTAATCTGTTGTATTTATAATATTTATTCAATTATTTATTTATTTATTTTTAGACTTTAAGATGCTTTAAGATGGCTTAACTCGGCAAGACTCGTGTCAGCTCTAGCTTCTGTTAACACCAGTGGATGTAATTATACTTTTAAATTGTAGCCATTAAGACTGTGAAAGTGACAATACTTTTCCACAGGACAAGAATTTGAGCCAATAACGTTGAGAAAAAAAGAGCGATTGCAAATGACACAAAAATTATTTATGGCTTTTGCTCTAACCAAAGAAGACGAGGTTTGCAATAATCTAACCTCGTTAAAGTTTTCAATCTTTTCATCTTTGTCTGTAAATTATTCAGATTATGTATCTAAAGGATTGTTGTGGCCAAACAAGACGAGGTTTGTAATAATCTAACCTCGTTAAAATTTTCAACCTTTTCATCTTTGTCTGAAAATTATTCAGATTATGTATCTAAAGGTTATCAAGATATGGAGCTCATTAACACATAGTTATTTCGATCATGTAAACATTCTTGTCTATCAAGTTAATTAATCATGAAACAGCATTTTTACACGCGTTAAATACATGAAGAGTTAAGATTAAGTGATGCCTTTTCAATACTGCAGCATTCAGTTCATTTTGATTTTTTCTGTAATGAACACGCAAGATTAAAATTAACGTTCATCACTTAAAACTAATGATGGCCACTGATAAGTACATGCCCCTAAAATGTTTTTTGGAGATTTTGCAAAAAAAATGTCTCACAGCGACGCTTAGCGCGATATGAATGAAAAAAATTATATGGCGAGACGATCATTCATTATCATTACTGCAGTTGTATTTTCTCGTTTGCGACCGATCTCTCAACTGGCTGAATTAATTATGGTTAATGGAGAATCCCATGAATTTGTTATTAAATCTAGCTTATGTTGTTTTTGTAACCTTTGCCTGAAGTAGCGGATTTAGGGGGGTGTCAGAGGGTCCTGACCCCCCCCCCCTTTGATTTCTGAAGAGTCCACACCCTAATGCCCTGGTACAGCTCCATCAAGCTCTTCGGGACGAATGGGACACAGGGGTGGATCCAGCATTATTTGAAGGAGGGGTCCGTGGATGCAAAGCCGACCCCACCCCCCACCCCCTTGGCGTGGGGTTCGGGGCCTGGTGACGGCGAACGGTGCCAATTTGGTACGGTTTAGAAATACCAGTATGATATAGCTGGTCAAAATTCTTATTTCAAGAGGGGGCCATTAGTGAGATTTTTTCAGAAATCGAAGGGGGGTTCAGGACCCCCCCCCCCTAAATCCGCCACTGGGGCAATATCCCACAAACAGACTTGTAATCCTTGGTAGAGGCATGCCGCGCCGCCTACAGGAGATATTTGCAGTTAGCCGTAGACACACACGATAATCGACACAAAAGAACCTTGGTACAATACAAATATAGACCAATTTTTTAAAACTATTTTGCTCAGTTTTAATATGTGTGTTTTATCCGTGAAAAGACAGTTTAAGTATTAATTCTGTAGAGTTTACTTATGGAAAATTACCTATGGAAGTATCATACAAGACAATTCAATAAACCTGTGAAACTTAAAGGGTTTGCTTCATGCCGTCAGAATGGCCTGAACGGAACATATTCTTCAGAAAACATGCCCAACTAACGATATNTGCAGCTCAGTTGAGTCTCATAGACCTTTATCGTGATTGTCGTCACAGTACCACGTGACCCAGATCTGTTGCTTCCTTTTTGCATATTGAGGTGAGGTTTACAAAAACGCTTTTTTTTCTACTAATAGATTGTTTCTATAATTTTTAAATGGCGGGGATCGATTAAAACATACCTCTAGTGTATAGATTGAGTGCTGTATCTTCAAAATTCGAGAAATGGATTTTTACATGAACATTGTCCTTTAAACGTTTTTTTTTAAAGTGTCCGTCTATGTTTTAAGGAGAAAAAAAAAACAAAGGAAGAAAAAAAGAAATACCAATAACCATATGTTTATAACAGTTTATGCTGTACCGTAAGGTTGAATGAAAATCCTGTCTTTTCTATCACAATCCCCCTAGTTTGTTCATGCGACCTACAGGTATGACAACTGGTTTATATGCTCAATTTCAAGTGTGTTGACTTTGAAATGCGTATTATTTTATTTATTTATATTTGTTGTGTTTGTATGTGTCATTATAATTTTATAAACCCCTAATCCTCTTTTCGAGATGGATACTATTGTGCCTTCTCATAAACCAGACTATAATTCAAACCGAAGCGTCCGCACGGAAAGTAGGTGACCTCTTCATTATTATGTAAATCAGGAGAACGTTTTGGTGAGAGGTGCTCAGATAGGACCAAGGTCAGTAGAAGATGGAAAAGAAGAATGTCCCATGCCATATTCCTGTTACTGCCACACGTAAACCGAAAAGATGCCACCGAAACCGACTGTAGTATCAAGTAAGTTCCGTACAGATGGTAGAAAATGTATTGTAGCATTTCTTAGTTTTGCAGTGACGATATTTTCCCCGAAATGGTGCACTCTAGGCATAATGACCATGGGGACATCTAACTGACGTGAAGGATACTGTCTCTTAGCTTTCCTTCAGTGCCTTTTGGGCACCCTTTTGTTTTTGATACAGTTAACTTTCCATAAGGTTTCAACATAAAAATATATATTTGTATTAGTTCAAAGCTTAATTGCGATTTGTTCATTATAATGCAAAAGATACTGACACGAATTGCTGTAATGAGCAAGTACTGCTTTATCCAAGCTTTATCAGATTTTTAGATATTGTTTCATGAATGTGAATTTATTCCTTGTATTCCAGTGACTCTAAGTACCGTTTACGAAGATACCAGATGCGTCCTACTCAGAGACAGGTTTCGTGTTCGACAAAATATAACCCCACACCCATGCCAAGATCGACTCCTAGGTCGACGTTTGTCTGCTTGTTAATTTGCAGGGACGACATTTAGTACGGAATATTATGCTCGCTTTTGGTTGGAACATTCTGCTCCAAAACGTATTTCAAATTAAAAGTTGAATAAAATGAGCTTTTTATTAAGAAACTTTTCCAAGAAATTAAATCCATACTAAGCGTCCGCCCTGCATGACGTCGGTTTGCTTCTCTTGGTAATTGTATGTTACTATGTTGTAATACAGTACTCTATCTGATCATGGAGTTACGAGGGCAATTTATGTGTACTTTTGAGTCAAGTTGATACCCGTCCCTTTTCGAACATGAAGCGGCAGA